AGAGGAATCGCTGGCCCAGCCCTGGGGGCTGTTGACACGCCGAGGAAGGGTCACTTCTGTGCAGAGCAGCGTGTCCCGCAGCACCTGCAGCAGCTCCTGGCCGGCCCCAGCCCAGGTTCTCAGCTGAGCCCCAGAGGCAGAGCGGGGGCCTGTGGCTGCAGCCGTGCTGCGCCCTGCCCTTGGACAGGAGCCTTCGGAGGCAGGAGTGTAATTTGTAAATGGATGGTGTAATTATGGATTAATAGCCACTGGAGAGGCACGCAGGGACCGCAGACACTGTGGCCTACTTAGACTTGGGCCTGTTTCAAAGTCCCGAGGCGAGGATGAAAAGCAGCCTGCAAGCTCAGCCAGTCAGCCAGCCCCAGCCAGCCAGCCCCAGCCAGCCAGCCGGCCTAGGCCAGCCATCCAGCTGGGCCCTGTACGCCTGGCTCATCCTCTGCTGGGGCAGGAAGGAGGGCACCAAAGTCTGCTCGGCGGCCGACGGGCTGTACCATCTCACTAGCCCAGCCTGCCACACGAGAAGCCCCTGGGAGTCCTAGCTCCTGGGTCGGTCTGGACGTGCGGGGCTGCCCCCGGGCCATTGCTTCCGGGGTCCCTGAGCCCCGGCCTGGCAGCCCGAAGCTGGGGAGGTGCTGGGCAGGCTGCAGTCCCTGTGGGCCCTGGCCCCCCGCTGTCGCGCTCCCACGTGGCAGGAAGCAGCTCTGGTTGCTCTCCGCGCTGCCCTTCAGGAGATCCCCGGGGGGGTGCCGCAGGCTGGCACGTGCCCCAGTGGGTTTGGTGCCAGGCATGCAGTGCTTGGGTGAGGCTGTGCCCAGCCTGCATTGGTGCCCCTAGTGCATCTACGTGGCCTGATGCCCTGAGCAGGGGTGTGCGCAGCCCATGGGAGAGGCTGGTCGCACAGCCTCCAGGCCGTGTGCTGGGCCTGAGTTCCTGGGGGCCGGCAATCGCTCAGGGTTATGGCCCGGCCCCTGCGGGAGGGGAGCGGACCCGAGTGCTAACCGGGGGTGGCAGCTGCCCAAGTGAAGTCATCGCGGGGGAGAGATTAATCTAATCTCCCCGGGGACGCAGGCTGCTTCCTGGCACAGGGACCTGCTCGTCCTATTACACTTGGCAGGTGCTGGCGGGGTGAGGTGCTTTGTCACTCACTCCAGTCCCTTCCCCCCGGCCGGGCTCCCGCAGGCTGGGCAGGGGGCCCAGCCGCTCTAGGGAATGAATCAATGAAACCTGCCGGGGCGGCACTGAATGGCTGCACATTTATCAATGGAGGGACAGAGAGGAGCTGTCGGAAGCGCTGCCCAGGGAGACACAGCCAGGCAGGTTCTGGGCCCCCTGTCCCAGCCACCCTCAGGGGCACACACTGGAGTCCAGCCGCTCCCCTTAGCATCACCCGCGGGTGACCAGCTTCCCCGTCGCCCACGGCACACCCGGCTCATCCCTCGTCCATGCGCCGGCACCGCGTCTCTCTTACTTGTGCGCCAGGCCTGGCTCAGTCGGGAAAGCCAGAGCCCGGCCAGCTGAGGGCCTGCTGGTCCTTCGGGGGGGGGGACTTCTGCCCCAGCTGTTCCCCAGGTGCCGATTGCTGCTGGTGCAGGGGGGGTGAGTGGCACCGTGGCGGCTGGTGCCTCTGCGGGCTGTTCTCCGGGCAATCTCCTGCTTTGGCAGAACGGAATGTGTGAGCTGAACCCCTGGGTTAGTGGTGCCAGGCACCTCCCTGGAGCTGCTTTCTGAGCCCGGCCACCTCAGGCCTTTGCTGGCCATCTGAGCCCCTGGGGAGCCTGCCCGGAGCAGTAATGCCCCAGTTGTGGGACCGGGATCCATGCCCTAGCACCAATCCGCAGGCCTCAGCAGCTGGACCGGGCTCCGGGGGCTGGGCGCTGACTGAGGGTGCCAGGTGTGGCACAGGCTTCAGCCGCAGATGGTGTGACAGAAGCAGCAGTTCTGGGAAAGGAACCTGTCCCGAGCTGCCAAAGGCAGTGACCTATTTTAGAGGCTCAGGTTTTCGAAGCCAAATGACGCCGCTGACTCTTCCGGGCCCCCGTGGCAGTTGGCCCAGCCCAGCGAGCGGAGACGCATAGTCTGACGTCATCAGAGGCTACGGCAGAGCCCGGGCAGCGTGGCCCCAGGGGCGCTCAGGGCTAAGGCAGGAAGGGGGCAGACTCTGCCCACCAGCTTATGCCCTTGGGGTACTCCCAAGTGGGACCCACAGGCTGCGGGCTTCCGCTCAGGCCCATGGCTGGAGTTGGCACATGGGCTGGTGTAGGGTCAGCAGGCAGGAGGGGAGCACACAGCGGGGGGCTGAGAGAGGGCCCTGAAAACACCAGCGCTCCCCCTCAAAGCCAGGCCAGGGAGCTGCGCAGCCTGGGGCCAGAGCTGCCTCCGGCCTGGTGTAACGATGCTGGTTCTGGCGGGACCCAACTGAGAGTTCCAATTCAGGACAAATTGCTTAAAACGGGGCAGTTACAGCCCAAAGAAGTCACACAAGCAATTCCCTCAGACTCTCCAGTTTCCCAGTATCACCACCAGTGCCACTTGTTATGGGGACAAATGGTTATGAAAACCAATACCCCAGTAAAGGAAAAAGGTTCTCCTGATCCCAAAGGACCAAGCCCCAGACCCAGGTCAATATACAAATCAGATCTTACCCACAAATCACGCTGTTGCCAATCCTTTAGAATCTAAAATCTAAAGGTTTATTCATAAAAGGAAAAAGATAGAGATGAGAGTTAGAATTGGTTAAATGGAATCAATTACATACAGTAATGGCAAAGTTCTTGGTTCAGGCTTGTAGCAGTGATAGAATAAACTGCAGGTTTAAATCAAGTCTCTGGAATACATCCCCAGCTGGGATGGGTCCTCAGTCCTTTGTTCAGAGCTTCAGTTTGTAGCAAAGTTCCTCCAGAGGTATGAAGCAGGATTGAAGATAAGATGGAGATGAGGCATCAGCCTTTTATAGTCTTTTCCAGGTGTAAGAACACCTCTTTGTTCTCACTGTGGAAAATTACAGCAAAATGGAGTCTGGAGTCACATGGGCCAGTCCCTGCATACTTTGCTGAGTTACAAGGCGTATCTGCCTTCTCTCAATGGGTCAGTTGTAGCTGATGGTCCTTAATGGGCCATCAAGCAGGCTAGGCAGAGCTGACACCAGCTTGTCTGGGATGTCACCCAGAAGCATAGCATAAGTTTGAAATACAGACAGTATAGAGCCAATATTCATAACTTCAACTACAACATTGATACACACATATAGACAGCATAATCCTAACCAGCAAACCAGAACCTTGTCTTAGACACCCCATTTGACCCCCTTTATACAAGATTTGGTGCCACTACAGGACTTTGGTTGCAACAATGATCTATATGGTCCCAGTTCAAATCAATAACGTGACACCTGCTGTGTCCCCAGCAGAGGTGTGGTCCCACCGCTGTGTGTTAGCCATGAATGAGCCCCTGCGGGCTCAGGCCTTCCAGGGCTGCTCCACAGCATTTAAGGTGGAGTCGCCACCTGCGGGGCTTGAGCCAGGAGCCCCCGGCCGCTCTTGGGGTCCGTTGGCACAGCGATAAAAGCCCCGCGGCCTGGGTCTAGCAATGGCTGTGTGGCCGTTAGCCCTTGCTCCGGGAGCCTCCAGCCTTGCGGACACACATGTCCATCCCTCATCCCCTCCGGGGGGCGGCAGGGCTTGCTACGGTTTGCCTTTGATCCGCCCACGGCGTGCGGGGGGTGACCGCCAGGCAGAGCTCGGAGGTGCTGTACGGGCAGCCGCTGGGACCCTGAGCCGGGAGCTGGTGTTAAAGGGATGCGGCCGACATCTGAGAACCGCCCGGCAGCCCTTGTGACTAGCCGCCCTGCTCTGGCCCCCAGGGGCTGCTTTGCTCTGCTGGCCCCGCGGTGCATGGGCAGTGATCGCTGCAGAGCAGGCCCCACAGGTTTGTGGATGTTGATTGCACTTGGTTCCTCATGATGTGGGTCGCTGTGCTGCAGGGAGCAGTGGGGGCTCAGCAGGGGGCACTCTCCCCAGCAGTCAGTGCTGGCCGCACTGCCCCAGTGTGGCACTAGGGGGCCTGTGAACATAAGAACGGCCACACTGGGTCAGAGCAAAGATCCATCTAGCCCAGTATCCGGTCTTCCGCCAGTGGCCAATGCCAGGTGCCCCAGAGGGAATGAACAGAACAGGGAATCATCAAGTGATCTATCCCGTTGCCCATTCCCAGCTCCTGGCAAACAGAGGCTAGGGACACCATCCCTGCCCATCCTGGCTAATAGCCATTGATGGACCTATCCTCCATGAATGTATCTAGTTCGTTTTTGAACCATGTTATGGTCTTGGCCTTCACAATATCCTCTGGCAAGGAGTTCCACAGGTTGACTGTGCGTTGTGTGAAGAAATACTTCCTTTGGTTTGTTTTAAACCTGCTGCCTATTAATTTCATTGGGTGGCCCCTAGTTCTTATGTTATGAGAAGGAGTAAATAACACTTCCTTACTTTCTCCACACCAGTCATGATTTTATAGACCTTTATCATAACCCCCTGAGTCTTCTCTTTGCCAAACTGAAAAGTCCCAGTCTTATTAATCTCTCCTCATATGGCAGCTGTTCCATCCCCGAACCATTTTGTTGCCCTTCTCTGAACCTTTTCCAATTCCAATATATCTTTTTTGAGATGGGGAGACCACATCTGCCTGCAGTATTCAAGGTGTGGGTGTACCATGGATTTATACAGTGGCAATATGTTTTCTGTCTTATTATCGATAATGGTTCATAATATTTTGTTAGTTTTTTTCTTTTTCTTTACTTCTGCTGTACATCGAGCAGATGTTTTCAGCTGTGAGCACTGGTGGGGGGGGGCAGCAGGCGTCCGCGCCCCTGACCCAGCTGTGGGTGCAGGGGGGAGGGGGCAGCAGGTGTCCACACTCCTGACCGAGCTGTGGGCGTGTGGGGGGGAGGGCGTGGGGAGGCAGCAGGTGTCCACACTCCTGACCGAGCTGGGGGCTGCTTTGTGCAGGGTCCCTGGTGGGAGTCGGAGACGTGATCTCTCAGCAGCTGGTGGAAAGAAGGGGCCTGAGAGGGCACAGCACTCGCAGGACGCTGAAGATGATGGCCATTGGCTTCTGCTTTGTGGTGAGTGCCGCCCCCCCGCCCAGCCCCCCCAGGGCCCGCTGGGAGCAGAGCGGGGGACCCATTGCAACAGGCTGTGCGCACGCCAGCATGCAGAGCCGGCCTGGCGCCGGGCGTGCGAGGAGCAGGCAGCGGCTGCAGAATTCTACCCCTGGGGCTGGCAGTGCCTCCCGACAGGCAGCCATGGGACTCTGCCATGCTGGGGGCGAGCCTAGGGTGGGGGACATCAGCACTCCACGGCCGCCCGCTGCCCGGGCTCTGGCCCTAGGAGCTGCTCCCAGGCCCTGCAGTCTGTGCCGCTGCAGGCGAAGTGCTGAGTGGTGCTGGAACCAGCCAGGAGCCAATTCGATTATGTGGCACTTGGCCGCTCTGCCGCTCCCATGCCCTTGTGTCGAACAACTCCTGGCTTGAGTCCTAGCGCTGAGGAGCCTGGGAGAGGGAGCAGCTCCCTGGGACAGGCCCAGCGCTCAGATCCCTGCCTGCCCCCACCAGCTGCTCCCACTCACACTGCAGTTCTCACTCCGGAGCTCGGCCTCTGCCCAGCCAGCGCGGGCAGACAGGCGGGTGTATCTGCGGCCTGGCGCACGACACAGGCAGCCCTGGGAGAGCCCAGAGAAGTGACGGTTACAGCCCAGCCCAGCCTGGTCAGCCAGCGCCCAGCCCAGCTGCAGTGACCCCCGTGGTTCAAGCTCTGTCCCCCCATCTGTCCGATCTCCTTTGTCCGACTCCCGGGGTGCCCCCGACTGCTCCCCACAGCCCACACTTAACCCCCCCCCCAGGCCTTTGTTCCCGAGCTGGGGGATGCGGCTCAGCCCCCTGCGGAGAGGCGGGACGGCCACGTCTCTCTGGGTCGCTGGTCGCCAGGTGTCCACGTCCCGGCCATTGGATCTGCCCTTGTCTTCTCAAGAGCTGCATGGAGATGGGCCCTAAGGGCCCAGGCCGCCAGGCGCCCTCCACCCCTGTGTCTTCACCTGCCCCAGAGCTCCCACCTGTGGGGGAACAGTGCCGCACACAGGGGAAACTGAGGCTCTCCCTTGCAGCCTGTTCTGGCCCCAAGGCCCTGGGGGCGCTGTGCTGCAGGGAGAGGGGCAGGGGGCACTGTCCTCTCACGGTCAGTGCTGGCCTTGCCTTCCGTCTGAGAGCTCAACATACTGCATAGGCTCCCCTGCTTCCCAGCCAGGAGCTCAGTCAGGATCAGGTGGGGAAACTGAGGCCCAGAGAAAGCTGGGGACTCTCCCAAGGCAGGCAGTGATGGAGCCAACGAAAGGACCTCCGCGCCCTGGCATACAGCCCTGTTTCTCCCGTTCATGTTTGTTTCGAGAGCCCCAGGGATCTGTACCGGCCGCAGCCACCATTGCCCGGTGCTCTCCGCAGGGTTCCTCCTCGCCCTGCTGGTTCCGAGGGAAGATGCCCCTGGTGCTCCGGCTGCACTGGGCGGCCCCCCGCCTGTGTGGTGGAGGTCTGTGCCGAGCTCTGGCTGCAGTGTGAGTTCTCAGGGTGCCTCCCTGGCCGTCGCGGGGGGCGTTGTCTCCTCGGTGCCCGCAGCTGAACCAGACTTTGCTGGCTCTCCTGGGAGATCTCCTGCCAGGCTGCGGACCTGCACTGGGCCCCAGGGTCGATACTGGCCTGTCACTCTCACCTCCAGATCACTGCCTGAGCTCTCAGCGCCCGCCAGCCCCTCCCCCACGTTGGCTCTGGGCCTTGTGCTCAGAGAGAAGAGGGCTCCATTCCCAGCCACTTGCTTGCAGTGTAGCCATGCACAACCTCCCCCATGCCCTGTGCCTCAGTTTCCCCTCGGCACCAGGGCAGAATGGCCTGACCCTCCTGCATAGAATCATAGAAGATCAGGGTTGGAAGGGACCTCAGGAGGTCATCTAGTCCAACCCCCTGCTCAAAGCAGGACCAATCCCCAACTAAATCATCCCAGCCAGGGCTTTGTCAAGCCTGACCTTAAAAACCTCTAAGGAAGGAGATGCCACCACCTCCCTAGGTAACCCATTCCAGTGCTTCACCACCCTCCTAGTGAAATAGTTTTTCCTAATATCCAACCTAAACCTCCCCCACTGCAACTTGAGACCATTACTCCTTGTTCTGTCATCTGGTACCACTGAGAACAGTCTAGATCCATCCTCTTTGGAACCCCCCTTCAGGTAGTTGAAAGCAGCTATCAAATCCCCCCTCACTCTTCTCTTCTGCAGACTAAACAATCCCAGTTCCCCCAGCCTCTCCTCATAAGTCATGTGCTCCAGCCCCCTAATCATTTTTGTTGCCCTCCGCTGGACTCTTTCCAATTTTTCCACATCCTTCTTGTAGTGTGGGGCCCAAAACTGGACACACTACTCCAGATGAGGCCTCACCAATGCAGGGGCAGGGGAGGCATTTTCTGCCTGTGGGGGGCTCTGTGATGCCCATCAGGGGGCGCTGGCCCAGGACATGCCCTCTTCCCTGCTGTAGGGAGCGTGTGTAGGGAAGGCCCGTCAGTCTGTCTGTCTGTGGGGCACGTAGCCCAGTGCATGGCCGATGCCTTGAACTCGTGCTTTCTGCAATCCCATCTGAGCCCAGGAGGTGGAGCTCCAGGGACCACAGCAGACCCCTCCTGGGCTGACCCCGTGACAGGATCCTGGGACTGGGGCAGCGCTTTGCCCGCTTAACTCTCCAGCCTGGGCTGTCTCCCCCAATGCTTTGCTAGTGACAGGCAGCAAACCCCTCCAGGCGCTGTGATCACTCAGCACAGCCGCATGTGGAGCCCCACCCCCAGCTAGAGTCCAGGAATGCTCCCAGAGCCACTCACAAATCGCACAGAGACAGGCGCCAGCTCCGAGCCTTGTACCTCCGAGCTGTACCGTCCTGCCCTGGTCAGAAGCCTGATGAGTGTAAGTACATGACCTGGTCCGCCCATCCCTCCATGTGGAGAGGACACACACCAGCCTTTGTAACCTGAGCTGAGGTTTCCTAAACTCTTCCAGCAAAACACCCTGTTTAAGGTAAAATCTAAACCAGGTGTATTAACTACAGACAGATGTTCTGGGATTATACGTGGTCGGCACAAAAGGTCAGAGAGAGTTACCAGAGAAAAGAAGAGGTGAGCACACAGTCTAAATCAGTTTTCTCACTTCACTGGATGTTATAGTTCTTGATACACAGGCTTCCCCTTAAGCCTGGGACCGGCTGAAGTCTTTGTCTTCTCAGCGTTCTGTTGCTTCCAGCGTAGGTGGGGGAGGAGAAAGGCCAAGGCAGGATCCCCTCAGTCCATGTACCTGGAAAACATTAGCCCAGACATGTCCTGGTGGGCTTTGCTGCCTCACAGAGTTGAGCAGTCCCCCATTGGGCAGCCCTCTTACAGCATTGTAAACCCCGTGTCTACAAGTCCCTTGCTGATTAACACCTTCCTGAGTGGGGATCACCTCCTGTGTTGTCACTAGCAAACTGACAGCATAGTTCAGTAACAACCATACAGCAAATCTCATCACTTCACACACACGAACGAGATATGTCTTAGGACAGAACAGCATAGTGACCTTTCCTATGATACCTTACATGGCCTGCTTTGTATGAAATATGATTATATGACGAGAGTGAATATGGGGGTTCCAGGGTGCTGCTTTGAGGTACAGAGTGCCAGACCCCCTTTCTCCCGCAGGGCCCTGTGGTGGGAGGCTGGTACCAGCTCCTGGATCGACTTATTCCGGGAAACACCAGGATGGTGGCGTTGAAGAAGATGGTGCTGGATCAGGTCTGTAAAGGAAGCGTTTCTGGGGGAGGACTGAGGAAAGTGGGTGCGCGGGGAGGATGCACCTGGGAGGCACATGAGGTTGGGGGCTGCGGGGAGATGAGTGCCCGAGAGGGAATGGGGTGGGGTGGGGCTGCGACAGGTGGGTGCCCAGGAGGTGGGGTGCAGGAGATGGGTGCCTATGGGGAGAGGGGTACATCTGTGCCCTCGCAGCCATGTGCATTTGCACATGCATTTCCTGGGCTGGGGCCTGCCTGTGCTCCAGGCCACGTAGCACATGCCCAGGCTCCAGCACTGCCTGGGGCTTCCCCCCGCCAGGCTCCCCTGCCCTAGCCGTTGCTGTGGGAACCTTCCCCTTGGCTGCCCCATGAACAATGGGTCCCAGCGTGCATTGTTCCATGCTCAGAGCAGCCCGCCTGCATTGCACGCTGGGGCTGGGGTCTCCCAGGGCAGTTCTGCGGCAGAGATGGGGGCAGGCTGGGCTGGAGCCCTCCAAGGAGGTGCATTTGGGCAAAGGAGTGCAGCCCCTCACCTCCTGCCCCCCAGAGCTCAGGCCAGAGCCCCCCGGCCCCTGTGCCCAGGGCCTGGCCAGGCTGGGTTCTCAGCAGGGCCAGGTTATCGAGTGGGCCCAGCCAGGGTGCAGAGGGCTGGCCGGGGGGGGCTGCAGGGCACTCACTCCTGGCTCCCTTTAGGTGGGGTTTGCACCTTGCTTCCTGGGCTGTTTCTTGGCCATCGCCGGGGCACTCAACGGCCTGTCCGCCGAGGAGAGCTGGGCCAAGATCCGACGGGTGAGTCCCGAGCCGTGCCGGGGGCAATACAGCCCCCAGGAACTGCAGCTTGTGCTCGCCACTTCCTGTCCCAAGCTGCGGGGGGGCTGCCCGGCGGGAGCCCGGTGGGAGTCGCTGGGGGGCGGGGAGAGCAGGGGGGAGGGGGCATTACTGGAGGGGCCCAGCAGGACCCCCATGATCCTCTGCTAGCCACAGGTGCTGGGGGTTGGGGGGGGACCTGTCTGTGTTGGCAGCTCCCTAAAGCCGTTAGCAGGTGGCTCGTCCACACCGTGGTCTGAGACCAACGCAAGCGGCTGAGTCAGCAAGTGCCTAGTGACTCACCCGGCGAGCCGGTGCCCCGGCCCTCCCCCAGCGCCCTGCGCCGCTCCCCGGCTGTGAGTCAGCGCGCAGCCCGGGCTCTGGCACCGGTGAGCCCAGTCCCCGCCATGAGTCACCACATGGGAGCGGGGCCAGCCAGGCTGGGGAGGGGCTGCTCCCCCAGCGAGGCAGCGTGCTCCGGCTCTCACCGGAGCCAAGAGGGGTAGCTGGCACCCCTCTGCCAGTCCCTCTGCAGCGAGTCCTGAGGGCACACGGAGACTCTGCCCGGGCTGCTTCCTCCTGCCAGGGGCACCAGGCCACGTGCCTGCTGCTTGCCCTGGGTCCCGGGCACAGAGCCCCCTCCCTCCTCTGCAGGCGATGGGGAGGCTGCTGAGTGAGGCCTGGAGGGAGCCAAGCTCGTTGTGTGAGGGGTGGGGGGGACCCCTCTCTGCTCCCAGCGCTCCCTGGCCGGGCTCTGAGCCTGCAGCCCCTGCTCCTGCTGGCTGGCGCATTCCCTCAGCAGCCACCTGCCCAGTGCTGTGGGCGCGCCTGGGTGTAGAGGGGGCTTGGCCAGGGGGATCCATCCCTAAACTGCCTCCCTTGCCCCTCACTGACGCCGTGCTGTGCCCCATGTGACGAAGTGGAGATGTTCTCAATGTTGTCGTGGACTCGCAGGCCTGGGTGCTCTCAGCTCCCCACGGTTTCCAGGAAGAACCCCTAGTGTGCCAGCCCTTCTCCAGGTCACCACGTCTCTCCCAGGGTCGAGCTGCAGACTCCTCCGCCCCTGGGACCACTTGCCGCAGTCCCCAGGGGGACCCTGTTACTGCAACAGTCCTTCTCGCTGGTCCCAGGGGTTAAGCGTAGCTCCACCGCCCCCCGAAAGCGCCCCTCCCTGAGCCTTCAGCACGCCTGGTCCTCGTCAATCCCCCTTCGTTTTACTGCTCCCCAGTCACTTACTGCAAGAAGCACCATCCACGGGGTGCAGCACATCCCACTGCTACCACCAGTTGTCACGGCGTCACTGGGGCGATGCTGTGGAACTGCTCCCCACAAAGCCCGTCAGGACTCTGGGGGAGCCTCCTCTCTCTGAGCATAGGGTCTCCAGGGCAAGAAGCTTACGCAGCTTCGACCTTCCTGGGTCTGAGCTTGGTGCATTCAGCATCCCCCTTTCACACCGTGCGCTTCCCACAGCGAGTCCGCACCGGCGGTGTCCTGGGGAAGCCAGAGGGCCGTGCACCCCACCTCCACAGTCAGACATGACTCTCAACAAGCCGGTAAAATGGAAGGTTTTTAGATGACAGGAACACAGTCCAAAACAGAGCTTGTAGGTACAGAGAACGGGACCCCTAAGTCAGGTCCATCTTGGGGCTGGGGGGGCCAGAGCCCCATCTGGGCCTCTCTCCATTTCACACTAGGGCTTCTTCCTGGAAACCATGGGGAGCTGAGAGCACACAGGCCTGCGAGTCCACGACAACATTAAGAACATCCCCAGTTCGTCACACCCCACAGCACCCTGGCTCGGTGGGAACTCCAGCCATGTCGGGCCCATGTAGAGATCCGGCCTTTGGTAGCCATGGGCCAGGGCAAGCGTTCCGGTGTGTGTCAGGGAGCTGGTGGGCCCCCCTGGCTGGCACGACCATAACTGCTCCCTGGAAGGGCTCCCCGTGGGCACCAGCCTTGCCTGCTGGCCTGGCAGGGCTGAGCCGATGTGCCCAGCCGGGGCACAGCCCGATGCTGGCTAGTGTTGGGCGGGTCCCTGGTGTGGCACACGGCTTCCTGGACACACTGGGGGATCTGCTCCAGAGCCTGCGTGGGGCCAGGGTGAGCCTGGCATGGCCCAGCGAGGGGCGGGGGGTGGGAGGCTGATCCGTGCCCGCACGCCAGGATATAAATAGCCTGACAAAAATACACTCCAAGCCCAGCCAGAAAAGCGACAGCGGAACCTCCCCCCCCTCCAGGATGACATCAGCAGCTTCGAGCTCCACAGCCATCGCTTCTCCTTGAGCCCGTGCCAAAGGTCGCCCCAGAGAGCATGGGCACCAGGCCAGGGGAGTGGGCGTGCCCAGCCCACGTGCCCAGGCCAGGGGAGTGGGATGTGCCCAGCCCGCATGCCCAGGCCAGGGGAGTGGGCGTGTCCAGCCTGCAGGCCAGGGGAGTGGGGTGTGCCCAGCCTGCGTGCCAGGCCAGGGGAGTGGGGCGTGCCCAGCCTGCGTGCCAGGCCAGGGGAGTGGGCGTGCCCAGCCCATGTCCCCTGATGGCTGCCTGGGCCGGCCTTGCAAGTAACTGGCCTTGTTCACTCCCTACAGGATTACCCGGACGCGCTGCTCACCAACTATTACGTAAGTGCAGGTGCTGCTCCAGCACGGCAAGCCGGTTCCCCAGGCGCTCCAGGGCCGGCCCTGCAAGCTGGGGCCTTCCCTCTGCCCCGCACCCTGGCAGAGCATCTCCTGCTGGGGCCCCTGCACCAGGCCCTTGCCAACCGGCCAGCCAGCGCTCCTGCCCCACGGGACTGCCCAGGGCGCCCCTGTCTCCCGTGGGGCCAAGGGGGTCTGGGTCTGCCCAGGGCTCCCTCCCCCCATTATGTATTTACCCACCAGGAATTTGGGGGAATTTTCCTTACCAAGTGTCCCACTCCCTGTGGGTGCCCCCAGTGCCGGGGGGCGGGCTGGGGGGCGTGCTGGGGGGAGGGGCTGAGGCCGGGCATCCGGCTGGCAGCCCTGCTGCAGGGTCCCCATCGGCATGTGCCTAAGGGGCCCCTCCCCACGCCCTGTCTTCTCTCTTTCAGCTCTGGCCAGCCGTGCAGATTGCCAACTTCTACTTCATCCCCCTGAACCACAGGTCAGGCCCCCGCCCTGCTCCCGCCTGCCCCCCACCCCCTTGGGTGCCCCAGCGCCCCCCCACCCTGCCCCCTGCCCCCTGGCCTGCTCCCTCTCTGCCTGCTCCCCTGCCCTGCCCCCCCGCCTCCACCTGCCCTGGGACCCCACCCCCACCTGCCCCCCGCCCCCTTGGGTGCCCCAGCGCCCCCCCACCCTGCCCCCTGCCTGTGCCATGGCTCCCATCTGCCCCCCTGCCCTGC